TGCTTTTGTTTTGATTTATCTGAGCACAATCCCAGCAAACAATAACTTGTCTTGAGTTTCAGAAAGGCATGGACCTCTAAAGTTCTCTGTTTCCTTGTTAGATGCTGAAATAAATGAGACCACTGACACCATGCCTGTTTTTGTTTTTGTTTGGTTTTGGTTTTGGCTTTTGGTTTTGGTTTTTAGGGGTTTTTTTTAGAGGTTTTTGCTATAGGGCACGTGTGCTCGCCAGAAAGACAGAGAGAGAGAGACAGAAAGCGTGAAATCACCTCACAGTGAGGATGGCCACGCTGAAATCCCTTTTCCTCCTTTCTCCTCTCAGGATCTTGGGCATGCGTGTACACGCACCTGGCGTAAGTTTAAGTCACTGAGTCCGGGACTCAAACCAAGGTCGACTACATGGAAGTCCAGTGACATAGCCATTACGTTAACTGTTGGTCCCACCATCCCTGTTTTTGGAGCACATATTGAAAAGTGGAGCAAGATGCAAGTCTGTTGATATTGGAAATTATCCTAATTGCAGTACCATACTTTTTCTTTAAAGATGCGCCCTCTCTTTCTCAGTCCACCCTGTTCCCCAACATATGTACACACACACACACACACACACACACACACACGTATACAGAATCACTTGTCTGTTCTTTTGCTAAAAACCTCAAGTCCTTGGTTTTTATACATTTCCCTAGTTGCATGAGAAGAAAAACAGATATATAATATTTACTTCCTTATTTCTCTAGGGGTTGGACTGGACCAATTCCTATGGACTATTGGCTGAAAAACTGCTGGTTCTGGGGTCTCCTATTGTTTATGGCTGATTTCTAGACAGTCACAGAGTTGGAATCCACGTCCTTACTCTGAGGTAATCTTGTAACCTGGATCTTAGCTCACCCTGTGTCTGTTTCATCTCCTGCTCTGTTGTTTTGTACTACTCTCCTTGCTTTGTGAGTACTTCTCATACAAAACCTTTACTACTGCCAGGCAGGTGCACCCTGTGAGCCCAGTCAACACATCAAATGCACTTCTGAGGTGAGGCCTCTCCCAGTGAACAACTTCCTCTTTCCACCTGAGTGCCTTACTCAGTTGACTAGACCAGGTGTTGTGGTAGTCTTCCAATTGATCTCCCCAAGATGGGTCTCCTGCCTTTCCCTTCCTGCCAGACTCAGCACTCCCAGACCATGCCCAGAAACACCACTACTTTTGTCCATCACACCTCTCTTCGGAAATATTCAAGCACTCACATTGTCTTGTTAACCAAATTCAAACTTCTAGCTGGAACTCAAAGTATTCTACAATTACTCTCTAACTTACCTTCCTAGATTACTTGCTCTCCACCTCTAAAACAGACAATAAGTTAATAAATTAAGTCCTTTACATTTAATCCTCATAATAGTCATAGGAGTTGGGCATTGTTATCTTTGTTTTTCAGATAAAGAAATTGAGGCTTATGGAGACTAAGGAACTTGCCCTAAGTAATCCTATATATTTAGTTTCCTAGAACTGCTATGACCATAAACCTTGTGGCTTACAATAGCAGAGATCTATTACCTTGCAGTTCTGGAGGCTAGAAATCCAAATCAGGGTTGGTGGGTCCATGCTTCTTATGAAGGCTGTAGGGGGATCCTTCCTTGTTTCTTCCAGCTCTGGTGGTTCCGACTTTAGAACCCCTTGGCTTTCTTTGGCTTTTCAATGCATCACCCAGTTGCTACCTCACCTTCTCACTTCTGTATCTTCTCTGTGTCCGACACTCTCTTCCCTTTTACTGAGAAAGGCACCACACACTGGATTTAGGACCCACCCTCAATTCAGAATGACTTTTTCTCAAGACCCTTAACAAATTACATCTGTAAGGATCTTATTTCCCAGTAAGGTTACATTTTGAGTTTCAAGAGGAAATAAATTTGCGAGAATTTTTTTTTTCCAGAGGACACATGAACTTGCCAAAGAGAGACAGACAGAGAGAGGGAGAAAGTACCCTCCTCCCTCCACTAAGGCATGGTGACACCACAATCCCTTCTCCTCCATTTTCCAACCTGGTGGGCCTGATGTGTTTTTCAAGCCACCAGTGCGAGGATTCAAACTATGGTTGGTCATGTGGGATCTAACTTCCTTAACCATTAGGCCAAAGAGCTGGCCCTGGGGAAGATGTTATTTAACCCATTACACCTTTCTTAACTCTGTCTTTGCTTGTACTTATACACACATACACACACACATACACACACATACACCAGTCTTGCTCTGTGTGTTCCTATCAACCAATCTGTGTGTTCCTATCAACCAATCTTATCTGTGGAAATCTTGGGTAGTTTTCCAGATTAAGCTCAATGCCCCTTTCCCCAAGAAGACATCATGATTGCCCCAGTCAAGTATGGAATTCATTCTATCACTCCAACTCCAACTACCTTACTTTACACACCTCCGATAGCCCGTATTTTCAACATAATAGCCTCAGCTTTTGTGCAGTTGTCTTCATTCCTGCCAATGTTAACTATATTGTAAGCTTCTCAAAGGCAAAACTGCCTTCTCCCACCATGCGGTCTCCATAGCACCTTCCATATGCAGGGACTTCATAAATTTGGCCAAGTGAATTCCTAATCATCTGCCTCTTTCTACATTGAATAGTTTGTGTATTAGTAAGCAAAACTGTAGGATGCTAAAAAACCAACCTCTCGCTAATGCTACCACTTTCCCAAAATGGAATTTTAAAAAATAGCTCAGTTTACATTCATACATCTATCTAATCCAATCATTTTAATGATTTAATAATCTTCATTTGAATTTTATCTAGTGGCAGCAAATCCAGTCCCTTCCTGGTATAATCCTCCCACAATCAGTCCATTTTCTCCTTATCTCCAATGCCCACCTTCTTGAGCTTTTTGGTACAAATTCAAGGTCTCTGAGGACAAGGACAATATCCTAGTCATATTTATATTCCCCACACCCGTCAGTGTCTGGGGCAGCCAATAATGTCTGAAGAATGTGTGAGTGAGTGGAGGTATGAATGCCGTGTTGGGGAAGTCACAGTTTCCCCTGGATGACAACTCATGCTTTTCAGAGCTCAAATCATCCTTACCACATTCTTACGGGGTGGGTGTTACTGTTATTCCCCCATTACAGATGGGGAAACGGAGGCTGAGAGAAAATAAAGAATTTGCTTCTTGGTCATACACCCAGTAAATGATGAAATCAGGTTGAAACCCAGGACTGTCTGACTCCAGAGCTGAAGCTCGTAACCAGAAAGGCTCTTAGATTGGGAAGCAGCCTGCATTGTGCTTCTCTGGTATGACCCTCCTGAGTATGCCCTTAAGCCTGGGAGGCTTGGGACCTGTTGAGCATTTGGCTAGGATAATCTGAAAGAGGTGATGAAAATGTTTGAGTCTGTGAGAACAGCAAATAGTGTAAAGTGTGTGTGTGTGTGTGTGTGTGTGTCAGGAGGGTGTTGTTTGCAGTATATAACCACGTCTTCAAAATAATAATGTAAAGGTGCACTATGAAATCACTGTACATGAATTTCAGACATGTTTGTATCAAAGAAACTTGCACTTTTTTCCACAGACTTATTTAAGTCCCCTCGTATGTGGTGTGTGCTCTGTGAATATAGATGCATGTGCTCTGAGTGGGATGACACATGGGGATGAAAAGGGCTGTGTTTATTTGGGGACTAAAACATGCAAACGACCAGGAGTTACATTGCACTCCAGTCCTAGCCCAGACACTTGTGAACGAACAGACCAGTCACCACCTCCTGAACTAGATTCCTACAAAATAGCCTGGGAAACCTCACGGAGCCAATGGGAAGACCTATGAAATTCAAGAAACAGTTACGGAAGTCCCAATATATGCACGACATAGCACAGAAGAACAGAGGGGTAAAGAGGAAAGTCTGTGGTGGACCCTGATTTGAAAGTGTTTCTGTTCAAATTGAGGGAAACAAATGTAGAAACTACCTTTAATTTATGCAGAATGTACACAATGAAAATAAACATTTCTGGAGCCCTTTACCGTATTGGCAAAGTAAAAGACAATCCCACAACTTTGTAAGGTAGGAATTGTAAGCAACTCCATTTGGCCAATGGGAAAACTGATGGAGAAGTTGAATCTTTCCTTCAAATCACACTGATGTTAAATAGCACAGTCAATATTCACCCCATGTCTGTATAACTGAATCTTTCCTCTCATCTCCCTGTACTATAGCAAGGAAAAGATGCCAAGTGGAGAGAGATGGGAACCTTTGTTTTCAACTTGAACAAAAGAAGATGCCCACAAAACAGCAGGGACATCTTTTGAAGCTGTGTCACTTTAAGTAGTGGATGAGGTCCTAAGATTGTCACTATCAGTGTGCATCTGACTACAAATTCAGAAATAGCAAAGTGAGAGTGAAAGAGGATGCACGTAGGGGCCAGAGAAGATGTGAAAGAGAAAGACCAGGAAGCTCCATTCTTGCAAAAGGGTTGCACACCACCACTGGAGAGATGCCACATGATTAACGTCTAACCACATTAATGTCAAACCGTATTAATGTCAGAGAGGAGAATTTGGTTAAAGCCCTGACTGGCTGGATCTCGGGCTGAAAATTACTAGTTTCCTCTTCCCCCACCCAACCCTTTATAACTTCCTCTAATGCTTTAGTCAAGCTTAAGACCCTGAGCCTTCCGGGAGCAAAGTGAGGCCCATCTGTTCAGTCAGGAATTTTCGGACCAGAGTAAAAGGTCAATCTGGCTTTTACTATAACTTAGCATTTAGATGACCCCAAATACTTCCAACTGTATCAGCCAAAAATAACCCTGCATTACTGTGAATCATAATTCCAAAGAGGAGCTGTCAGAGAGACTCTTTAAAAACAGATAATGACGGGGCTACTGCTAATGAGAAAAAGGAATAAAACAATAGGTTTATCTCTTTAGAATGTGCTTGCTCTAAAAGTCATATAAAAAATAACCGTAATCATCTTGTTTGGGAAGGAAAACATTTAATGCCTTTTTCCCCAAAGAGTTTATTTCTTTTATTATAAGACATATTGGTAAAAATTTGCATATTTTGAAAAAGATAGAAAATGGTAATAAAATGGAAATTTTGCTTATTAAGAAATATGTTCATAAATATGCATCATCAAATGTTAAAGTGGTTACTTTGCAAAATTATAATAAATAGAGCAGAGCTGTGAAGTACAAGGATCAACCCAAAGTACCGAAGTATTTACGGTACATGTTTTACAAAAATTCCAACCTCAGATTATATTTCAAAATTTGACATGTTACCCTCTAAGTTATCAATGATTCATGTTTTAAAAATATTTTGATGGCTCCATGATTTCAAAAATAATGAAACATAAAAGGTGGTTTAACTAAATAGAATTTGGTTAAAATATAATTTCCCCCAAATAAGAAATTATAAGACACATAAGTAAAAGTATAATTTTAAACTTATAAATGATACATGATTCAGTTCCCAATTCTACAGGTCTCTGTGGGCACTGAGCAAAAACTGTTCACTAAGCTTTAGTTTCCAGCAAGGCCCATCACTCTATTCACAGTTTGATGGGGCATAAATAGTCATGATCATGACAAGCCCAGTTCTACAATTCTAGATCCATGGGTACAAGGTATGTAGAAGGTTCTCCCTCCTTGGAATAAACCCTTTGACAGCTTGCCTGTATTTGTTTATGTCCCACGGACCTCTGATTCACAAGTCAGAACACTGGACAAAATTTTAATAATGGAGTTCTTGTTCTAGGTATTCTTTTGTAAGCCTCAATTCTCTACTCCAAAGGAGAAAAGAAACACATGTGAACACCAAACACGTCCTCTCGTGAGTCTTGGGTGTTCAAGGCCAGGCTTATCCTGTAAATAAATACTGACTCTTCACAACGACCTTTCATTTCCCATGCATCATGTTGCCCGTGAGGCCAACGCATCAGTTCCCAGGTGCAATGGGGAAAACCACACTGACAGTCTCAAGTATCCAATCTAATATAGATTATCGGTCCCGATGACCTTCGGCGATGTCCATCGGGGGACATCCGGGTGACTCTGGGTGCCTAGAGCACTGAGAGATCATGGCAGGATTTGGACTTGAGCTTGAAGGCCATATTCTTATTGTTTTTGGCCACGATCTTGCCCCAGAAGCGCCTGGCTTTCCTGGGAATGCTCTCTCTCCTCTTCTGATAGGCCAGCCGCCGCTCATTCTTCTCCTTGCTGTCCCGCCGGAGGCGGACCTGCCGCACAATACCCTCAAAGAGCTCCTTCACGTTGTGCTGGACGGCTGCGGAGGTCTCAATGAACTTGCAGTCGAATACCACAGCACACGCTCTCCCCTCTGGGACGTAAAGGAGGAGAAGAGAAAGTCAGAGGGACTGCAGAGCATGGTCCTAAACAGCACAGAGTCAGGCTGGGTGATTCCCAATTTAAAACCGTCCTTGAGGTAACTCTAAGTCAACTATTTATGTAAGAGTATGGGAGGTCACCGTGACGCATGCACTCTCAGGGCAGAAATGGAGGAAAAGGGTCTCTCAGGAAGATCACTGGAAACAGGAGAGATGGGTTTTAGTCTGGGCCATCTTAAGTTTGCTGTGTAAAAGTCCAATGCCATCAAATACCAAGATTAATTATAACAGTTAAAGAAATGGCCTTAAATTTTGACAGACTTGTTCTGTCCTGATAATTAGGCTAAGTTCTCTATAAACATTTTTTAATGCTCACAGCAATCTTGGAAAAGACATCATTATCCTTCTCAGATAGATGGAGAAACTGGGAGGTGGGGCACATCCTTTAAAAACTTGGGGGCATTCATCTAACCTGTAACTGGCAGCAAATCAGGCCTGTTCAATAGCAAGCCCATATTCTTAACTCTTTTCACTCAGTTTTATGAACTAAAAATAAGAATTCTACTACTTGACTTTCTTCTCTTTTAAAAAAAGTGGTAAGCCAAGTAGTAGAATTCTTATTTTCAATTTATAAAATTGAGTCAGAAGAGTTAAGAATGAGCTACCACTTTAAAAGAAAAAAAGTGATGAAAAAAATGTTTAATTGACACAAAAATTAAGTTATTTGCTGATGATAATACATACAGTAATATCTTTGTCTTGACTGATATGTACTATATTCATGCTGGGAAAAACCATGTTGTATACTGTAAAGATGTATAGTGATTAAATGTAAATAATATGTGTGTGTGTGTGTGTGTGTGTGTGTGTGTGTGTGTGTGTGTGTGTGTGTGTGTGTAAATAAAAGGAAGAAAAAAAAGTGGTGGTGAAATATTTTGAAAAAATTTGAGGATTTTTCAAATACAGCTACAATAAGTTTTTTTTCTGTAATAGTATCAATTTAAAATATTTCATTGAATTTAATGTGTCAAAGTTTTGGTTTGGGGGGAAAAAATGATTACTATAGATAGTCATGTCCAAGTAGTAAGACATTTTCAAACTAGTTGTGTACATTTCTTTATCAGGTTTCTTTTCTGAGCAGAGCCTAGCAAAGTAGTATTTTATTTTTACAATTGTACCAGAGACCAAATTTGTAACAGGCCAATAAAATCTCAGTGGCCCTAAAAGCACTTGGGTGCCCACTCAGCAAGTAAGAATTATTTCTGCCCTAGGGATGAAAGCATATGTGATACAATCAGACTGATGCCTTAACTGAAATTTAGGGAACTGGGGATGAAGGCAGGATCATGTTTCTAGGGTTTTCAGAGACCAGAGGCAGCCAGGATAGAATTCTCTCAATGAAACTCATAGTTCCCTGCTCCCAAATAAAAGTACCCCATCCTTCTTGCCTGAAGATGCTACTTCCACTTCCCTGAACCCTCTCGATCTCCAGGAGAATAGAAAGGGCAATGAGTGAAAGGCTGGGGACTGCCAGTAAACCTCTATGCATGATCTTTATTCTAAAGCAATTCCAGGAAACCCCTCAGAGGTAAGGAGATTAGAATCCTGTGGTAGACCAGATGGACAAGGGAGCAACAACCAAGACAGATTATAATCTGGGGCTATGAGAGTGTTAGAGGTATATATAAAAATACATGTAGCATTTTAATGAGTTCCATTCCATTTAATGAGTTTCCTTATGAAAAAGGAAAGAAAGAATGCCTTTCTGAAAGAAAATGCATGCGATCCAGATACTGTTTTTAGTCTTCTGGCATTTGTCCTTTTACCTGAGACAGACACTTCCCGACACCGCACTAAGTCACTTTTGTTGCCAACCAAAATGATAGGAATGTCCTCTGTCTGCCGGGCCCTGCGGAGCTGAATTCGCAGCTCAGACGCCTTCTCAAAGCTGGCTCGGTCTGTGATGGAGTAGACAATCAGGTAGGCATCCCCGACTTGCATGCAGTGGTCTTGAAGCCATTCATTCTCCCCCTAGTGAAATGAGAGTATCTTCCATGAGTTCAGGTTGGCCTGAGAATGAGGCATCAGCTTGCAAAGAAACAATGTGTGTATCCCAAAGTTCCCCAGCTGAAAAGAGAAAGGAAGAACACTGCTTCCAGTTCCCCAGGGTGCACTGGCGTCCCATGCCTGCAAGATGTCTAGTGGCTGAAAAGACTTCCAGTCTGCACAGTATTTCTGCCAAAAGTTTCCATTTTCTGATTTCTTCCACAGCTATAGCTGATACACTACACAACTGCTCTGTCAAACAATATTTCCAATTGCTACCAAAAGTGAGCCCTTTTTGACATCCCAAAAACCCTTTTGCCTTTCCCAAGTGATTAAAATTAAGAATCCTTTTGTGAAAATAGGTGGGTTCTCAATACACAGAAGGTCTTGCATGTATGCTCAGAAACTCCAAATCTTTAAAAAAGCAAATATTGCAGACTAGCACTGAGAATGTCAACTTCATGTAGGGTGATTTTTATAGATTATAATAAGTATCCATAATCATTTGCACTTTCCCTAAAACTAATACACATTTTTGTGTTTTTTAACAGAACTGAAGTGCAAATCACTGCAACTTGTTATCCAGAGCTCATGGGTGAGTAACTTGTTCCTTAAAGCTTTCTTATTCTTCAGAAATGAATGCTTTTAAACAAGAAAATAAGTATCCCTGGGGCCAGCAGGTGGCATAATGTTAAGGTGGTGGACTGCCACACGGCCGACTGAGGTTTTGGCCTCAGACCTGGCAGCTTGAAAATTACTCTGGGTGCATGTGTATGTATGCCCAAAATCCTGAGAGGAGATTGGAGAAGGGATTGCTGTGTGGCCATCCCCCAAGGGGGTAGTTTCTCACTTTCCCTCCTTATCTCTCTCTCTCTCTCTCTCTCTCTGCCAAGTGTACATGCCCTATGGTAAAAACTTAAAAAATTAAATGAATAAATTCAGCCTCCTCATCTATGTAGGACAAGGTCACCCTCATGCCAACTCTGTTAAAAACCAAGCCCTGAAGGAATTCACAGGGAGCTCTGGGCTCAACATACCTTATTTTCCCACATATCCAGGAGTATAATTGTTGCACTTTCTCCATCAACAATCAGGGTTCGCTCGTATGTATCTTCTAAAGAAAAAAAAAATAGAGCTATTGGAGTCAGGCAAATACGCAACAAATTTCCATAAGAAGATCGTGTAGAAAATTATGCTAGAAAATAACTAAATATGCAATTAATTATGTAAATATTCAGCTAGTTACAAAGGTAAATTACTATTTGTATTATCATCTTCCACAACTTTCCACATATATACCTCCAATACTTACAAAGCAGAACACCTAGATCTCCTGAGTGTGTATCACTTAACCACTTGAAGCAATATGCATTTGTTTTCATCATTTCTGGACCTTTTTATAGGAAAACCATTTGTGAGGATAAACTCACTTAAGAGCTTTTGACTCAGAGTCAATGAATGATGCTATGGGAAAACATTAGCTGCCTACTGGAACTGTGAGCCCCGTTTTCATAAGCCTTACATGGATGTCTATTGTACAGACTCATTGGCAATTTCAGGAGCTTTGAGCCCAAAGCCATTTCTCCTCTTTAGAGAAATACAAGAGAAAAAAAATCTTGAGACTATCCCTGTTATGGCCGTAACTTTCTTCCTTAAAAAAAAAAAAAAAAAAAAAAAAAAATGCAGTTCCCTAGGAACAAGTGGGCTTGTTTTTCCGTGGTTGAGTACAGAAGAACAGCCTCCAGCTCCACTGGGTAATGGAAACTTTCCTCCCTGCACTGGAGCCCAGACTGGGTGTAGGTGAAGGGTGAATGCAGTACAATGGGCCAAAGCAGCTCCAGCCTGGAAAATCTGGGGGTGGGGGGACCTGGCACCAGAATTTTTGCAAGAGGGTTTCCCATCAGCCCAATCCCCACTCTATTTTCACAATGAAGCTTCCTGCTTCAAATGTCATCATTTGAAAATTGTGACTTTTATGATCATTTATCATCTTTCTTGTTTCTTTTGCCTGAAATCTTTGGCCTTGGATAGCCTCAAGGCTTGTTCCCTTACCTCCCTCTGGGGATGGTGTTTCCTGACCCCTCCCCTGGTTTAAATCTACAACACCTCTCTCCCGCCAATATTTCTCTGTCCCTTCCTGTTTTACATTTCTCCATTCTACACTTACGGTCATCTAACATGCAATACATGTAAGTTATTTTACTATTTTCTGACTCTCCCATTCCCTAGAAGGTTAGGACAGAGATTTGCATCATTATTTACAGTGTCCCCTAGCACTCAGGACAGTGCCTGAGACACTGCGGGTGTGCAATAAAAAATCTGTCCCATGGGACCAGCAGTTGGCGTAATGGCTATGTCGCTGGACTCCCATGTAGTCGACAGCGGTTCAAGTCCCGGACCTGGTGGCTTGGACTCATGCCTGGCGCATGTGTGTGCGTGCCCAAGATCCTGAGAGGAGAATGGAGGAGAAGGGATTGCAGTGTGGCCATTCCCGCTGGGGGCTGATTTCTCACTTTCTGTCTCTCTGTCTCTCTCTGGCAAGCACACGTGACCTATAGTAAAAACCTCTCAAAAAAAGAAAAAAAAATCTGTCCCATGAATGACTGAGCAAGTATAGCACATGGCTGTGAGCATAAGCAAACTGAATTAGAATCAGGATGTCATCCCTTGTGAAGCATGTGGCTCTGGACCACTTAAGTTCTCCACATCTCAGTTTTCTTCTCTATAAAATGGGACCAACAGTCTCTGCCCCTTAGGGATGTGTAACAATTACATATACTAAGCTTGGGTATGAAGGAGAAACTAAGACAACATTAGTGTCATCATCAAATCCTCAGATGGAGAGAGCTGGTTCTCGCCAGATTCAGCACTTCCTACTACAGGTAAATCCAGCTTCATGGCACCACACTGAGGAACACCTGGCATTTCATCTCTTATAATAGTCAGGGATTTATGAAAAGCAATCCTCCTGGTTGTTTCTTCACCTAACAACTTGGGTCAGGAGAGGGAAAGGGGGGGAATGTGAACAGATGAGAAGTTAACCAAGAATGGTTCTGTCTTTCGGTCCATTTCTCCACCTCCTGAAGGGTCATTCTAATCAATGGCAACTGTTCCCCACTGGGGCATTAAAATGTTTTGCAGCATGAGATCACAGCGGGATGCACTATTGGGCTTAGTGGAAGGTAGGGCCTCTTGACCTCACATGCAGATTTATACAGCCAAATGGAAATCATCAGAACCTGATCAAGGCAGATGATGGGGGGGTGGGGGCAAACGGGAGGGGCTGACTGCCTCTTACCTCCCCAGAGCTTTTATCCTTTCTCCTGACTGCCTCTTACTACCATGGAGTTTTTAGCTTTTCTGCAAAACCTCTCTCTGCACTCAGAAAACTCAATACAGCACGTTCTCTGTCCTCAGCCCAGCACTCACCACCTAGAACCAAATACAGGTGACTCTGTGGAATGCCCAGTAGTTCAAGTAGAGACATACTATATTCCAATAGCTAAGAGAAAAAGCAAACTTCTTGATTTAAGAGAAGAATAAAGCTAGAGAAAAATTGGACCAAGGATCTGTGAAAGTGGAGCCAAGATGGTCTGCCCTTCTAGAAGTGTCCTACAAAGCATCGAGGGGCCAAGCCTAAAACAACACATCTTGTCCCTGCTTTGGGCACTGTTCCTCCCCACCCCATACAAAGGGTCATATATAGCCTCAGGTGACATGCGTGTGCCAAGGACTCTTCCATCACAATGCACCAGTTTAAACTGACCAGGTGCCAGCCTGCAGGAACAGAAGCTGTAAGTCTCTCTCCTTCCCTTAGTCATTCAGCTCATCTTTTAGCCTTTTCAAGTGCTAATCAGGTGAGGAGAGAGGAAATGAAAGAATATGAAATTCTAAAAGAGCTCTTTGAAGTTGCTCTGAGTTAAGGTGCGTGGAGAAAGGGGTGACATTTATCAGCCTGTGAGGCTTTTCCAGTACCTGGGCCTAGGGATACCCTCACCTCTCCCATGCTCTGCATGAAAACTGGCAGTGTCCACAACCACTCTGCAGAGAGGGAAAGCATTCTAATGGTGTAGGCTCTAATCATGGTTGGGAGCCATTTTCCCTGGACCAGCACGCATCACTGTGTCTTTCCTCATTTGATCCCCTTGACAAAGAGTCTCTCCTTGACCCAACTTTAGTCTGGCTCCTCTGAACCCTTTTTCTTGATTACCCCTCCATTTTGGGCCTCCGTGTCTATCCTTGAAGACTCCAGTTTTAGCAAGAACCTGCTAAACCAGTTGAGGATCTCTCATCTCCCATCTCAAGAGCTGATCAAATTTCCTCATCCTTTACCTTTGATGTTTAAGTTCCTGGTTTGACATATTCAAGACCTTGTTTACTTTGGCAAGACTCCTGTTACATTGGTTTAGCAAGAATTCCCTTCCCTTGACGTCTTCTCTTAGTAATCTTCTGTCTTCTGACCCCCTGCGCACCCCAAACCTACTTCTTGGCCATAAATCCCCACTAGTTCTTGCTGAATGTGGAGCTGAGCCCTCTCTCTCTCTCATATACGATGGTCTTGACATCCACTGCAATAGTCCTGACTAGTGTTTCTTATCATGTCAACAATTTTTTTTAACACCCTTATGCATGGAGGCCCCTCCTGCCCAAGACAGGCTCAAGTGCTGCATGTGAGACCTGCACAGTTCTCTCACATGCTAGAACTGGCTCTGCAGCCTCTTGAAAGTTCTGAGGCTCCAGCATCTCTCCCTCAAAACTTTCAAGTGCTTTCAGGATTTCATAGCCCAAGGAATCACAAGGAACCTTGGGGAAAATGGCAGCCCTGAGAATACTGTCCTTTCCTTTAGTGGCTTATGTCTCCTCTGCACATCTCAAAGGGCCCCAACTAAGAGTGACCAAAGTACATGGATAAGGACAAGGAAACCTCCTATTTGGGAAGATAAGTCTCAATCCATCAAGAGGAAATGGTAGATTCCAAATCAGCTCTAATGTTTATTCCACTCTTACTCTATGCCAGGCACTATGCTATATGCTTATATGTTATCTCCCTTCATCTTCATCACACTCTATGAAGTCTTATCCTGACTACAGAATGGGCTGGAGGGGGTAAGTGACTTCTCGGAGAAGTCAGCGCAGAGCTTGGTATGCACGGCAGCCTCCACTCCTGTGCTCTTTCCAGTACGCCCCTGTGTATCTGTGGAGTGCCTTCTCACCTAGCTCAGGGCTTCCAAATCCTACTTCTTATAGGATCGAGCTCAGAAACCAACTCTTCCATGAAGCCTTTTTTGCTATCCATGGCTGGACACCCTCTTTTATCCTCTGAATTCCCACAGTATTGTCCTTGAACCACGTCCTTGAACCACTGTCCTTAAACCTTTCAAGACACGTATCACGTGTCCTGATTTCTAGTTGACGTATACCTGATCTCCTCTGCATATGTGAGCATCTCCAGGGAGGAAGGCTCATGACTCTTTGCAGGTCCCCAGAGTGCCTCATCTAGTTCCATGGTGCATATTCAGTAAATGTTTAGGAATGAATCAGTTAGTGAGTGGCATTAAATGTGCAAAAGAGTCATACGATTATTGCAGTGTAACTGTAATAATAACCATTTTATTAGAAAGCATAATGATGAGAATATTGGGTAGATTTTTTTCTTATGGTTAATGCTTAAAAAACAAATATATCAATGTAGGGGTGTGCCTTGGAAAAATTTCTCTTGGGAAACATAAGCCAACTAGTGATTCCAACAAGGCCTATAGAAAAGGGATATAATACTGGAAGACACAAATTATGTTACACACGGAACACATTAGATAGGATGGGTCACCTAAGAAGCTGCTCATTGTCAAAGAGTCTTTAAGAAGATAAGGAAGGAATTACTCTCTCTCTTTCTCTCCCTCTCTCTCTCAATAATGGGGTTTCCCATATACAGAAGCCTGCCTTCCCAAGTTCCAGGTACAAGTCGGTCCCCTTAACACTTTGTGCTTATGGGTATACCTCCCTCTGAAAGGATACCACTCCTTTCTAATCAATATTTTTGAAAGTCTAGATTCTTTATTTTCAATCCCGCCCTCTGAAAAAAAAAAAAAAAACAATTTTTGGTTGACTTTTTCCTTATATCAATCCCCAAAGCACTTTACTATTACTTCGGAAGCTATTCATTAATCTTACCTTGCTCTGAATGGTAGCCAGTGACACTTAGCTCCTTGCTAAGCAAGTAGTGTGTACCTCACCCATCTGTGTACCCCTGAATCCAGCTCAGAGCTAGGCAGGTGGCTGATACCAACCCCCCCACACCCGCCATGTGCTGTCATACTTATCAGCATTAGGAAGCTAACTCCCAGGGGTGCAGGGGGCAGTGAAAGAACCCAGGATTTGTGTTTAACCACAGCTAGGGATAAATCCTAGCCATACCTGAACTATAAGGTCATTGGGAAAGTCATGAGTATTTTTCTGTTTTTCTGTGTGAAAATGTGTCAGGACTTTCCCAATGACGCAATCGTTTTTTCACTATGGGAAAATCACTTGGCTTTGAAAGTCTCCACTTCTTCACCTGCAAAATACGGCTATTCATACCAAATTGGTTCAATTTTTGTATTACCAGAGACATATGCAGGAAGCCCCGAGGACAGTGCCTAGAACATGACAGGTTCCCATAAATGGTAGAATAGGAAAACTACCAAATTAAGATTCTAAAATCCCAAATTCTAAACCCAGCTTCCTCACTGGTTGATTCTAGATAAGCTAAGTGGCCTCCCCAAGACTCAGTTTACTCATATGAGTACAGGAACTTTTTTAGGACCAAAATAAATAATAGTAAATATAAGGCCCTTAATAAAGTGCCTCTCCCATTATAAACATTCATTCTAAACGTTAGTTGTTCCCTCCCTTCTCTCTCTGCTAGCAACAACACACACCAACCTTTACAAAGAAAAGAATCAATCTCTCTTCAGTCTATGCTGGCCCTATTTTCCCTTGACTCTTGTTTAGCTATAACCCCTGAAATTCCAGAAGTGGGGAGAGCAATCAATGCCACATCAGTGAGTCATCAGTTATTGCTGTTCCTAAGCTGCCTCACAAAGCAGTGAACTCCCTGACACTGAGACAGTCAAGAACAAAACCTTTAGATAAAATGGGCTGTTGGTAGTGAGGAGCAGGATCCACCAGCATCAAGTGAAGGTGAGATTTGTGTCCTCTCTAAAGCATCTTCCTACTCTGGAAATCTGTAATTCAAGTATGAGTCGTGACGAGAGTACAAATAGACCACATGACTCGGGCAAGCACGGAAGGGTTCTTCCTTCATTTCCACAGTGGCAGATAAGGACCTTCAACGACCCTGGTCACATATGCTAAGACGGAAGTCAGAGCTGACAGACAGTGTGTGGACACGATTGGCTTCTAGGGTCTTCATATGACTTCCAGACTATAGGGCTGTGCATTAACTGTTGTTCACAAATGCATGCCTTTATGAAGTAAGGCTACCTCAAACCAGTTTTAGAACTAGGTGAGGCTTCCATTAAAAAAAATTTTTTTAATGACATTGTATAGATAAAAAGTTTTGATAAACTGAACTCTATACAAAGTATCATCATTCTCATACTTCAAATTAAAAAAAAGTTAGTATGCTATTTCCAATACAGATTTTGAATTATTTTACACCCTTACAAGTCTCTAACGCTGGCAGCAACAGACTGATGAGTCCATCCTGACAGTTTTTTGTTTGTTTGTTTGTTTGTTTGTTTTAATTGGTTTGGTGTTAGGTATTAACTGTGGAAAAGGCTGTGTCTATACTGAACTCCTGGCATAAGATCAGGGTCAGAATGGGCACAAGCCTGACCTCTGGCTCTGCCCTCTTTTGTCAGGTTTCCTGTGGGCCCTCTTTGCCTGGAATCTAAGAAATTCCCTTTCTGGCCCAGGTTCAAGAGTTTTGGGTCCTGTCTACGAGCACTTTCATTTTCTTGTCCCAAGGGCCTGGCTATTCTAGAGACTCAGCTCCCCACCCAGTGCCAAGAATGCACAACCTCAGCTCCCAACTCTGCACACACAGACTATAGGGCTGTGCATTAACTGTTGTTCACAAATGCATGCCTTTATGAAGTAAGGCTACCTCAAACCAGTTTTAGAACTAGGTGAGGCTTCCATTAAAAAAAATTTTTTTAATGACATTGTATAGATAAAAAGTTTTGATAAACTGAACTCTATACAAAGTATCATCATTCTCATACTTCAAATTAAAAAAAAGTTAGTATGCTATTTCCAATACAGATTTTGAATTATTTTACACCCTTACAAGTCTCTAACGCTGGCAGCAACAGACTGATGAGTCCATCCTGACAGTTTTTTGTTTGTTTGTTTGTTTGTTTGTTTTAATTGGTTTGGTGTTAGGTATTAACTGTGGAAAAGGCTGTGTCTATACTGAACTCCTGGCATAAGATCAGGGTCAGAATGGGCACAAGCCTGACCTCTGGCTCTGCCCTCTTTTGTCAGGTTTCCTGTGGGCCCTCTTTGCCTGGAATCTAAGAAATTCCCTTTCTGGCCCAGGTTCAAGAGTTTTGGGTCCTGTCTACGAGCACTTTCATTTTCTTGTCCCAAGGGCCTGGCTATTCTAGAGACTCAGCTCCCCACCCAGTGCCAAGAATGCACAACCTCAGCTCCCAACTCTGCACACACACGGCCCCCCAGCCCCACTCTCATTCCTTCTGCCTGCATCACTGCTAATGGACAGAGGCCCACGGGGCTAGGCCACCTACCTCCCAGCACCTCGCAGTCGCTGTCCATGCTGTCATGCACGCCCGCAAAGATGTTGGCCAGAGTGGACTTGCCCACCCCCTGCTCCCCTATGAGCACCACCCGGTAGTAGGTGTTCCCTGACTCAGAGGAGATGACCGAGTCTGTGGAGTCAGAAGACCAGCTCCGGCGGCAGTGGTCCTCAGGGGTGGCCAAGTGGCGGCTGCGGGGGTTGTAATGGTGGGGCTCTTTCTGAACCATCAGATGCCGGCCATCAGCTGGAACGCTCCAGCGCTGCTGCTGCGGCTGCATGCCCACGGTGCCCTGGCGCATGGTGACATTGTTCAGAGTCATCGTTGGGTCCTAGGGAGCAAAGTGGCCAAGATGCCAGCATTAGTAAGCACAAGTGGGAGCTCGGGGGGCTCAAACGGAAAGTCAGTCTTCAGTGATACGTTATTAGATGGAGTGAAAGCCAAGTCTCCCAGACATATTAGAATATCGATGAAACGTGCCAAGAGCGCAGTCCAGGCGTTCACCAAGGCACACGCGCGCACACACACACGCACACACACCACTCCCCACTGTTAGTAATGGGCTCCCCAGGAGACTGTCACATGCAGAGAAAGAAAAGTACCGTTAACATTGCCCACTGCCCATGAGCATCTTCCATCCTTAAGAAAGCCTTGGGTTCCCCACTCAGAGCTGGCACAGAGGCAGCTGGAAAGAACTAAGAGCCTCCAGAGATGGCTTAAAAAGCAACAAGTGAAGTTTGTCAGGACCAGCTGGCCAGGTTAGCTCTCTTGTCTAAACATGGCTCTTAATTGCACCCCCGGTCCAGCAGGCTTTTGTGCCTCGGTGGGAAACACGTGGCAATGACATCACTCCCCCTGGCTGGACTGGACAGGCACTTATTGGAACTTCCATGTTTAGTAAAGTTGCCCTGATAAGCTCCAGCTGCCTGAAGAGACCGTTATTAGGGGGAGGGGTGGGAAGAGTTTCTGTTTGGGGTTTACAGCTCTACTCTGCCCTCTTGCACTCAGACACCACCTTTAAAACATCCCAGCCCCAAGCCTAGTCATGCCAGCAGGAAAATGACCTCCTTACATCCAGTCCTATCAAATTTGCAGAAAAAGTGCTTTGTTCAGCAAACCATGTCCACTCGGAGAATTCTTTAGCGCGACTCAGATTCCAGCCTTTTTGAAGCAAATCACAAGGCTAAAGATTCTCTTCTCCTAAATGACATTCAACAACTTCACCACAACTTCCCCTTGCAAGATGGCCCGCCTTGCACGGAGCTTTCTCTCTACCCTGAGATAACATGGAAGCTTTCCAACTGAATCAGCGAGACGGAGAAATGCACCACACCCCCTTGCCCACCCTCAACCTCACACTCCACACCCCGGCCACTAACTAGGGCCACCAGAGGTTTCATTTTCTTTTCCTCTTAAAAGCAGCGCCTTAGTTGGCCACCTAGCAGTCCAACAGCAAATACGAAAGTATTGAGCGCTGCCTCACGACCACCCAGTCTGCAGAAGGAGGGGACCCGCCAGCTAAATTTCTACAGAACCTGCTGCGCACAGGTAACCTTTGCACCTGAAGCTCTGCCCCCCTACCCAAACACCACTGCGCAGATCTCGCGTCCCAGCGGCTCTTCCTCAACTTAGAAAGTTCCGCGGGCTGGGAAACGCCCACTCGCTCCCCTGTCCCTCTCCTGGCGCTGGGAGATCGCCCCCACTCCGACCACCCCCCGTACTTGGCTCACTGGTCGGTCCGCGTCGGTGCGTCCACGCGTCGGTCTGCGCTGGGATCCTGCGGACGCCGAGCGCGGGGATGCTCCGCCTGCCCGCCGTCCGTGCCCGCCGCTGGCAGCCGCCGCGGCCCCGCGGTTTATAGCGAGCCCGACCGACCCGCGACGGGGCTTTTCCGTGACGTCAGCGCCCCCGCCGGGAGGGGGCGGCTCTGCAGCAAAAAAATAAATAAATAAAACTCAGAGTTGCAGCCACTTGGCGAAATCAGTTACTCGCAGTCATGTGACCCCCGCTCCCCTTTTAAAAAATAATGACAGTTAAATCTCTGGCTTCCTTTTTTTTTTTTTCTTTTTATTTTTTAACAGGTAGACAGAGGGAAATGGAAAAATATACCAAAAGCCGCTTCCCAGCACAGCACTTGTGAGCTATCGGGATAAACGATGAGGGAAGAGCTAGGTTCGAGTTCCAAGCTCAGCTTTGCCAAGAAAACAGAGATAGCCGGGCTGGCGCGGAGACTTTGGCTTCCGACATGGGGCTGCCCCCACCCTAAATGGCCAGCGCTTAGGTAGACAGAGGGAAATGGAAAAATATACCAAAAGCCGCTTCCCAGCAGAGCACTTGTGAGCTATCGGGATAAACGATGAGGGAAGAGCTAGGTTCGAGTTCCAAGCTCAGCTTTGCCAAGAAAACAGAGATAGCCGGGCTGGCGCGGAGACTTTGGCTTCCGACATGGGGCTGCCCCCACCCTAAATGGCCAGCGCTTGGCCGGCCGCATCTTCTGCGAGGAAAACCGCCTCTTCCAGCCTCTGTCACCTTCTACCTGGGTGCTGGAGGTAGGGAAGCAGGGACGCAGAGAGAGGGAGCCAGAGAGAGGTGAGGAAGGGGGACAAGACCTTGAAAAGGGCAGTTTTGAAAAATAACTTCATTAAGGATCCTAGCAGATTGTGCTAAATACTGCCGGCCCTCCTCTGGATCAGAATGCAGAGGTTCCTCAATCAGGGAATTGAATCAGTGTCCCAATCAGCAGCATCTCTGTCCCAGGCTCCCTGGCTCTGCTGGCCTGGGACATGGAGCCAATGCTTTCCAGCCATGGGGAGGATCTCTGAGCCCTAATCTGCTGAGAGACTCCTGTGAATAAAGGGCCCAGGTTGATAACAGTTACCACCATTTACAGAGTACTTCTGTAGGCCTATACTTACTAGGGACTTGGTGGTCCCTGGGAGCCTTAAACCTTACTACCATTCTGCAAGGTGGGTATCTTGCGATTCCCCCATTCTACATAGGAGGAAAATGACCCACAGTCAGAGAACGTGCCCCAAGATCACACTGCTTTTATAAGTGGCAGGGTCAGGATTCGAAAGCTGGTTTGCCTGACACTTTGCCGCAACCAACTGAAAAGTTTCAGTGACCTCTTCCTGGGGACATGGGCATTTCCCAGATGCTGTGTTTAGAGACAATGCTGGCCTTTGCAACATACCCATCCACCGTGCCAGCTAGCTTCATCTCTGGGTTGGCTGGCGGCTCCGGGAAGCAGCCAAAGGCTGCAGCGCCTATTGAAATGGCTGGACTGGGCTGAGATTAGAGCCGATGCTCAGTTATCCTGCAGGCATTTGTCTGCTTTGGAGATGATCTAAGTGACCAGCTGCTGAGACCCACAGGGCCCCATGCTGCAAAGGTGGACTCCGCAGAGCACTGAAAACCTTTATTCCCAGGCGTCCTACCTCAGTCTCCTACATGCATTATACGTAGGGGAGCTGAGAGGCAGAGGGAGGACCACCACTCGGGAAATGGCAGAGCTGGAATGAGAACCTAGGTATCACGATTTTCTGGTCCACGCCCTCTGCTTCTGTCAAGTTTATCTTCTGGACTTAGAAAGGAAGGAGTGGCTACAGATGTGGGGAAAGGAGAAAAGAGGAAAAGACAGGGAAAGAATTCTCAAGGAGCTAGCACAGACTCCATTCCAAAACCTGTGTAATTTGTGAATTATCTGCATTTCAGACTTATCCATGCTTTTCCAATGCTAAGCCTCTTACTCTGTCAACTGGTCTTGACAGAAACATTATGGGAGTGGAAACTAAGGATAAATCAGAGTTTATAAGCATATAGCTCTTAACTCTACTTTTGCCCACTGATGAGAACCTAATAAGAATTAATAAGAAGCTAATTCTATACCTAGGCCATATCTACTATGAACAGTTTCTTATTGGCATATATGAAACACACTACCAAAAAGAAAAAAAAACTTCTGAAGAGTGAGGAGGAGGGCCAGCCAGGCGACATGGGTAAGACAGCTGAATCCCACATGATTGACTGCATGGTTCAGGTCACAGACTCAGTGGTTTGAAAAACATACTGGGCACATGTGTGTGTGTGTGTGTGTGCCCAAAATCCTGACAGGAGAATGGAGGAGAAGGGATGTGGCATGGTCATCTCCTCCCAAGGGTGCTTTCTCATTTTCTCTTTCTCTGTCTCTGGCAAGCTCACATTCCCCATAGAAAACATTTTTTTAAAGAGTGCAGGAGGAGGAAAGGTGGTCCAGCAATGTGCTTCAATAAATGAATCTGCCTTTTTAAATTTCTGTCCCATAAGCAGCCAGGCAAAGACAAATGAGGAAAAAACTACCTAGGAAAAGTTTCCGCTGGAATGATAGTTGGAGTGAATATTTAAAGTCACAGTCACATCGCACGAAAAGCACATCTGAGAGCCAAATGTTACACAGCAGAGTCCCAGCTGCCTTGTCCAGGATTCTAGTTCACCGTGACCATCTGAGGGTATGGAACTGAGGAAAAAAAGGGGGATCAGGGAATTTGGGCAGGTTGCAAGTTCTGGAGAGGAAAAGTTGGCAGAGTATCATCGTTTCTGGTTCTGTGAATTATTCTCTCCATATCCTTCTGCCAGCATTTGAAGGCTTCCTTGGGTTCTAGCTAAAATGAGTAGCTCAGGAGTATACAAGGAGGCAGAGCTCAAAGTAACCAACATAACTCACATTTATTGAACAATATACATGCCTTATCTCAGCCAATCCTCATCACCACTGCAGTTACCCATGTTTTATGAGGGAAGTGCTGAGGGCTGAGATTCAATAACTAGCCCAAGGTCACAGAGCTAGGAGATGGCAGAGCTGTGTTCTCTGGGGCCATCCTCTTAACCATGAAGAGTTCTGTTTGTGAAGGGATACACTTCAGGCCCTGTTTCCATGCTAGGCCCACCTACTCCCTTCCTAACTCCCCTCCAAAAAGCCGGAGCCCATATCTGATTGGCCAAAGTCCATGACCTTTCTACTTCCAGAGGGTAGGGTTACACTACTCAAAAACAAGGGCCATGTTCTTCTTTCTCTTTTCTCCAGGCCCCTGCCCTTGGTGACCAGGTGAACTTGAGGTCTTCTGAGCGGCCTGCCCACCTCTCTGTCACTGTCTCTATCTTGGTCTCTGTCTCTCTCTGCTTATAGACTTGAGCAAGCAGGTCCTAAGCATCCATTTGCTTTCAAATGGCTGAGAGAAGGAGGAAAGGGGTAGGAAAAGAGGAGTAGAACCTGTGACCCAGGTTGTTAATAAAGGCGTCTGGGTTTGCACAACCATTAATGTAATACTGCTTTAAATATCATCCATGAAAACTCTAAGGAAGATGAATACAGGATCTATATTTGCTTGAGTTTAGAACATGATTCTAAAAGCTGTAACACTGTTCTAAAAGCAATAGAATCATTCACCTAATCTTCAACATAATATACCATAGACCTACTACAATCAAGGCAGTGCTCGCCCATGCCATCAATATATGCTATTCAGTAGTAAAGGTGCCAACATACAAATGATCTCCTTTCCACCAACAAAGGATGGGCACTGAGCAAGTGATAAAATAAATGGGGTTTTGTTTACATTCCTTTTTTATTTTGTTTTATGCAATAGCCAGAGACTCTGTGCACTTAACAGTGAGAGACCAATAGAGAGAAAGAAAGCACCTTCCAATGGGGCATAGTCACCCCACAATCCCTGCTCCTCCATTTCTCCATCCTGTTGGGATTTAGAACACAATGCCACGCTCCCAGCATGTTTTCAAGTGTCTGGAGCAATGTCTCAAGCTGCAAAGTCGATCGTGAGGAATATGGCTCCCTTAACCATTGGGCTACCAGGTCAACCCTGCATCATATTTTAAATGTTTTACATTTTAACACCTTTAGGCAAGACATTCTGGCAGTTCCCCACAGATTCTAGTCCAGCTCTCATTTATACATATTATCTACCTAGCCCCCTAGAGGTATTTGATTTGGGGTCCCTGCATAGACAGAAAGAAAAGGAGGGAGGTTACTATCAGAAAAGCAAGTTCAAACCTAAGCCCTTCCTCTTCTTAGGCATGTCATGCTGGAGATGTCACAGAACCCCAGAGGCCCAGGCTTCTGCTGCTCTTCAGACTAAGGAGCTTCTGAATGTAGAAGTGTTAACCACGAGCTCTGTGTCAATGCAAGTGAGTATGATTATGACGCAGGAGCCAAGGATTGGAGCTCTGCCAACTGCCCTCCGTTTTCCTGCCTCTTAAAGCCAAAGTTAAGTTAATCCAGCAGAAATCAGGACACATGAGGTGGAGGAAGGACAGGTGGGAAATGTTCTCGTATCAGATGTTACTAGGAAAAAAAATTAGCAAGGAGAGTGGTATGGTTTGGTTCTTTGTACACAAACAAGAATATGGGGGCCAGATACCCAGCGTATATAAAAGATCTCCACCAGCTACACAAAGCTGCGGGGAGGAGCAGGAGAGAAGGCAATATGCAAAGTGTCTGAGCATAAGAAGAACCACCCACCCACCCACTCGGGGAGTCTAAAGAAGGAAAGAATTACTATATGGAAAATCATGGCTTTATAGAAGGGGGGAAAAAAAGGCTCCGATTGCAAAATCAAGAGAGCCCTGATTAAGAGAAAATGAAGACTGAAGAAAAGATGGCTAAGAATAACCTGGCAACATCCAGAGGCCTGCAAGATCCAGATGGACAGCCCCTCCAGCTGCATCCTCCTTCAGACCAGCCTCCAGCCTCTTAGCAGACTCCTGCTGAGCAGATTTAATTTTCCATTGAAAAAAAATTCCTAGCTATTGCCCCTCCCCCAGTGCATTAGCCCAGCCTGCTGTAGGCCTTTACCGCTCCCATGGCAGAGCTAGCTGGGGCCTTTTCTACTGAAATCCTGCAGAATAAATGCCGGATGTTTCCAAGGATGAGGGGAGCCTCCTGAAGAAGGCAGCCATTTTCTGCCCAGGTTCCTCCATTCATTAAACAACAAATACCTATTGAGCATCTACATGATGCAAGGACCCATTCTGGGGGCTGGGGATAAGGTTCACATACTCAGAATTCTACTCTGGTAAGAGAAATAATAAATGAAGTAGCACTACACTTACTCATTCACTTGTTCTTTCTCTGAGTATGCCACTCTTTTTCTTTCTTTTTTTAAGGTTTTGGCCATGGGGTATGTGCACTTGCCAGAGAGAGACAGAGAGAGGGAAAGTGAAAAATCACCCCTGGAAAGACAGGCATGCCACAATCTCTTCTCTTCCATTCTCCTCTCAGGATTCTGGTCATGCACGTACATGTGTCTGGCATGATTTTCAACCTGCTGGGTCCAGGACTCAAACCATGGTCAGTCATCCAGCACCTTAACCACCGCATCACCTGCCGGCCCCAAGTGTGCCACACTTTAGCCTTGATTTTATCATCTACGAAAACAGGATGATAATGCGAGGTAGGAAGTACAAAGGATTGAGGACACGCCCATTCAGAACTCAGGTAAATGTGAACAAAGGGCATTCTCGTGCTCAGCTGAGGAAGTGGAAGAACATATTACCATTTTGGTCATCAACTGTCAACATCTAAGATGTGCATATCCTTCGTGACCCAGCAATTTCACTTATCAGTGTGCAATTTGGGCCAGCTTAATCGGGCAGTGTAGAGAGAACCAGACCCCACAAGGCTGACTGAAGTTCAAATCCCAGCCCTGGCAGTCTGAAAAACATGCCAGGCACATGTCCGTATGTGTCCAAAATCTTGACAGGATGAAAATATAAACGCAAAGGGACTATGGCATGACCACAGCCTATGGGGGGGTGGGGGTGGGAGGGAGGTTCTTTCTGTTTCTCTGTTTATCTCTCTCTCTCTTTCTATCCCTGAGTCTCTCTGGTAGGCGCGCATGCCCTCTTGCAATATAAAAAATAAAAACTTTGGCCCAATGTATATTTAGTTTCCCAAACAATATTATGTTTTCCCTGGGGTTCCTTCCATCAGCAACAGAAAGATCAATGAGACTATTAAACCCAAGGAGCCAAAAACCAGACTCAAACAAAGGCTTTGATTTAGCCAGTTAGCATGACACAGTCTAAAAGGGTAACTTGAGCCAAAAGAATAAGTTGAGTTGAGGCCATGTAGAGGTAACACCTTTCATGTACAGTTAAAAGTATTCCTGGAAACCAGCAGTTAGCATAATGGCTATGTCACTGGATTCCCACGTAGTCGACCGCGGTTCACATCCCAGACCCGGTCGCTTAGAACTCACGCCGGGCACATGTGCGTGCGTGCCCAAGATCCCGAAAGGAGAATGGAGGAGAAGGGATTGCGGCATGACTATCCCCCCTGGGGGGTGATTTCTCGCTTTCTGTCTCTATGTCTCTCTCTGTCTGTCTGGTGAGCGCATGCGCCCTATAGTGAAAACCTCTCCAAAAAAAAAAGTATTCCCATTTACCTGCTTTATTCATTTAATCTTACCATCTTCCTCATTTTCAGGTCTTTGTTTTCTTTCTTTTTTTTAGACAGGGTTTCACTATGCTGATCAGACCAGACTTGAGCTCATGATCCTCCTGGCTCAGCCTCCCTGAATCACTGGGATTACAGGTGCACACCATTGTACTGGACTCAGGTCTTTGTTTAAACAATTGGGTGGTTTCTCCAATTAACAGGCAGCAAGTCTCTGGATTCATTGTGATGCTTTTAACTCACCCTTGCAGTGAATATCATCCAAAAAAATTTTAAATGAAAATAAGTCTAGCCTTAATTGACAAAAAGTTGTTTTTGTTTTGTTTTGCTTTTTGAGAGGTTTTTGCTATAGGGCGCGTGTGCTCGCCAGACAGACAGAGAGAGACATAGAGACAGAAAGCGAGAAATCACCCCCCAGGGGGGATGGTCACGCCGCAATCCCTTCTCCTCCATTCTCCTCTCGGGATCTTGGGCACACACGCACACGCGCCTGGCGTGAGGTTTAAGCCACCGGGCCGTGGTCGACTACATGGGAGTCCAGTGACATAGCCATTACGCTAACTGCTGGTTCCAAAAAAGTTATATGTCTAAGTTTCTGCTGTTTTTTTTTTTTTTTAAAGATTTTCTCAAAATTCATTTAAAATCTAACCACAACCTTCAACTAACAATGTTATTCTGTGCTGTCTATGTAAGCAAGGTATCATTTTTTTAACACACAGTAGGGCATTTGCTGAGGATGATAAAGGTAATGATGGAATAATGTTCTACACCAGCCACTAATGTGTATCATCCAACTTGATCCTCACAACAGCTCTATGAAATAGGGACCACTATTATTCCCATTTCACAGATGGAGAAACTGGAATTCTGGGAAAGCTAACATAAGTAGGCACTGGCAGATGCTGTCTAACTCATTTCTCATTTTATCCTTCTGATGAGACTCTAATCTCAATTTAGGAAACTGAGGTGCAGAAATATTAAGTAACTTAATCAGGATCACACAGCTCAGTGACAGAGCTGTGATGTGTACCCAAGAAATTTATCTTCAGAGTGGGAGCCATTATACCTGAAACCATCGGGACCGGCAGATGGCATAATGGTTGTGTCACTGGACTCCCACATAGCTGACCACAGTTGAGTCCCAGACCCAGCAGCTTAAAACTCATGCTGGGCTTGTATGCATGCGTGTCCAAGATCCTGAGAGGAAGATGGGAGAGAAGGGATTGCAGCATGGCCATCATCCCCGCCCCCCCCCCGGGGGTGATTTCTCTCTTTCTGTCTCTCTCCAGAGAGTGTATGCACCCCATAGCAAACTATAGCAAAGATCTATCTAAAAAAAAAAAAAAAAATCATTGCAAAGTGACATGACAGACACTATTCTAGAAGTGTGTGCTCAGGATAGTGGGGCCACAAGAAAGGGGAAGGGGTGGTAACTATGCCCCAGTGGGTCAGAGAAAACTGTAGAGAAAAATTCAGTCATGCACATTTTGTGAAGTGTAGAGAGAAATTGGTAAGGTACTATATTTGTGTGTCCACATGTCAGAGGTGGTATATGTTTGTGTGTGTGTGTTCTGTGCAAGCACGCACACCACTATGTGGACAGGATATGCATACGTAAAAAACTGTATATGCAAAAGGCTGTTAGGGCTGCCTGGGAAACAGGGTAGGTGCAAGGGCTCTCATAGAGAGTGAGAGCCAGAATGGTGGTCAGGAGTCCTTTTGTTCATATATATAATCTACATACATGTATGTGTGTATATATACATATGTGTGTGCGCGCATGTGTGTATGTGTATGTGCATGTATATATACATATATTTTTGCTCTAGGATGTGTGTGCTCACCTGAGAAACAGAGAGGGAGAGAAAGTGAGAAATCACTCCCCAGAGGGACAGCCACATTGCAATCCCTTCTCCTCCACCCTCCTCTTGGGATTTTAAACATACATGCACACACACCCAGCATGTTTTTCAAACCACAGGGTCCAGGACTCAAACCACATAGTTGGCCATGTGAGATCCAGTATCTCAGCCTCTATGCCACCTCCTGGCCCTGGGAGTCCTTAATAAATACTGAGCTATAGAAAACAAGCTCAATGTTCTGTTTAGTCCTAGAGCGATGACTCAGAATTCCCACAGGAGCTCAGGTGATGGGAGGTGGGGAAGAACCTCTCAAGATCCAGAGTGAATGAGGAGAACCTAGCCTCATCAGCCTTGAGGTCCAAAGGGGACAGGAGCTATAACACGTAAGCGCACATCCACTCTTTCTTGTACAAGGGCCACGAGGCACCCGTGACTTTTTATGAGGAGACAGCTCCAAAAACTGAAGCTAGACGTTCGTGAGGCCTCCTCTGGCTCTGCTCCGGGCAGAGAGCCGGGGTCCATGAGGACCAGCCAGAACATCCCCACACAGCACCACCAGCTGGAGGAGGGAGAGGCTTCCTGCCCAAACACCCCTTCTGTTCGCTGCTTCCACTTTCTCCCAACCCCTTCTCTCCTCCCTAACTTCTTTGGCCTAGATCGACATTATTTTTTTGGAGCATCCCATACACAGTAAATACAGTTTGTGCTCAGCCAAGGGATCACCATCCACATACAATGTGAAACATCATGGCTGGATGGGGAACAGATGTTTCCACCCATTAAAATTTATATGAAAACTATAAACATTCCTCAGACAAATGAAATAAGTAGAAACCTCTGAGAAATTAAATCATCCTCCCTGGGGAATTCCGCAGGCGTGATGCATGACCTGGTAGCAACAGGACTTTTATAATTAAACACAGTCTGGGACAGAGAAAAGCAAGCCCCTTGCAAATGGCATGCAGACTTCATACTCTTATCTATATTTCCCCGGTAGGGAACTCACGCCGTGGGCTAAGAAGTGGCATAGCAAAGTCACCGTCATCGTAATTAGGACCCTAAAGAATGTTATTAGGCATCCAGCCATTTGTATGCTCAGATTACATAACTTAATATGAGAGTTAGTGTCAAGTTTTATATTCTATTTTTTGTACCTTCACATATTTTTAAGAATTATTTTATTTAATTTTATTTACTATTATTATTACTATTATTATTGTTTTCCAGTTTGATCAGGGAGAGAGGGAAAGTGAGAAAGCAAGCCACCAGGTCCAGGACTTGAACCACAGTCAGCCATGTGAAAGTCCAGAGCCTTTAACCACCACGCAAACTGATGGCCCTCCACTTGATAAATTTTGATGAAAAATCTAGTAGGTATTAGGCCAGGTGTTAGGCTCTCAGAGTACACAAATGAAAGCAACACAATCTTTGCCTTTAATAAAGTTATAATCACTGAACACACATTTAGCGTGTCGTATCTTTTCACCTCGAAGACCAAGCCTTCTCTGCACAGATGGACAGGATCATAGAAGGCAGACAGGAGAAAAAGGGTCCTCTGAGCTGAGAAACTGGTTGTAGAGTTCCCCCATTCCTACATCAAGATGGCCCCCACCCTCCAAGGACACAAAAATATACATAAAGCATAAAACAAAGGGCAACCACAAGAGAAAATTGCAGAAGAATCCTCAAGTGGAAATGGGTATTTGGTGTTTGAAAAACTAACTCCATTAGTTCTATTAATATGGGATGATCCTGTTATTATTTCAAATTCTCCATGTATATTTGTTAGTCATTTCTAAGTCAAAAATAAGGAGAAAAAAAAAGATACTCAGGTGGAGGCTTAGTGTAAGCGAGGCAAGAGGCTATCTTGACAGCTGCCCCACTAGGCTTTATGAAGAACACAAATTTTATTCAGGTTTCCACATAAGCTCTACATTCTCACTGAGGATCTTGTTGCAAAAATTAGAAACTGGGGGCCAGCAGATGGTATGGTAGTTAAGGGCGCTGGACTCTCACATGGTCAATCTTGGTTCAAGTACCACACCTGGTGGCTTGCTCTCTCTCTCTCTCTCTCTCTCTCTCTCCTCTCAAATAAAATTGGTCAAAGTTGAAAAATAATGATAATAAATAAATAATTCTTTAAAAAAAATTGGAAACCACCTCAAGCCACTTTGACTTTTTTTTTTTTTTTTTTTTTTTTTTTTTAATGGGCTCAGCCATGTTGACATACACCACTGAGATGCTGTGTTCTGCAGGCTGGAACCATATGAGAGGCCCAGGTTCAATTCCCAGTCAAATCTTAAGGCCATATATAGGAGCACTGCCTATAATTCCAGCTACTCAGGAAACTGAGGCAGAAGGATCATGAGTTCGAGGCTGACCTGAGTAACATATCGAGACCCTTTCTAGTGAAGAGCAGGCATGGCTGTGGGCACCTGTAAGTTCAGGTGGGAGGCTGAGACAGGAGGACTGAGACATAGTAAGACCTGTATTAAAAAAAAAAAAAAAAAAAAAGACAATGTGTTTTATAAAAATGCAGGTATCTGGAGGGCTCCTAAGGGACTTCTTTGATGGATCAAAGTTGGGAAAGGAAAAGTTATCAGAAGCACTGTCTCTCTCTTTCCTTCCACATGGCCTCTCCATGCCTGTTTCTACCCACACATTTGTTTCTTTTCTCTCCACACGCCAACTTTGTCTTCTTCTCACCCTGTAGTGCCAGCCATAGGCAGAGACCGACTATCTCTGCCTCCCAATTCCAAAAATCCCAGGAAAGGGCATGTGACTGGTTCAGCTTAGGTGAAACTGCTACTCTTGGTCCAACCAACCAAAGACTGGAAGGCAGAGCCACTTAGCACAGATTGGGTGCCATAGAAAAGCCTTACTAGTGTAAAAGAAGGACATTCTCAGAAGAAAGGGATTGTTGTGAAAATGTCAGCTACTCTTTGGCTATTCTGTTATCTCCCTGAAGAAGGCTTCCCTTGCTCCCTGACCTGGGGCTCTGCTTTATGGTGACTAAGAGTTTCTACTTTGCTACACTAAATTTCTCCCTTCTTATTTCTTACCTCATAACTCCTCACCTAAAGCTACTATTGTTTCATGCTTTTTGTTAATGCTTTCTCTTTTCTTCTGTGCCACTTTACTGCCATTATTGTGCTGAATGAATGGAATTCACTCTCCTCAAAGGCAGGTTGGGCTTATCAACCTCAATTGACCAGTAGCTCACTTTGGGTCAGTTATCAATCTGTCTGTGCAACATCCCTGGTCCCATCATCTGTAGCCAGGATAGTGAGATTACAAGGTGATAGCCTAGAAATGAAGAATAACATTCTTCATTTGCCCTTTCCAGAAGAGAGCTACAGGTCTAGCAATTTCCCAAAAGACGCGTCCTGTCTC